AAAAAAGCCATACTAATAGACGCCCAGACATAACCATGTTTATTTGTTTTTTCAATTTTGGTAGGCAGTCTGGTATTTGGCCCATTGATTGCTTTCTTTGTTGATTGTTTGTTGGCGCACGGGACGTATGATTAATTTTCTAAATTTTTATTGCTGATTCTTGACTTAATCACGAACTGCTAATTTTAAATATTTACGAGTTATGCTGATAAGCAGGTTTCCCATATACATATGCCAAAAATTCCACTATCTTCAGAGACATTTCAGTAAGCTGAAGTTGAAGCTGTAAAATCGACTAAGAAAGTTCTCAACTGTCAAATATATTTGCGTTGAGTCATTTTGTTAAAATAAGATACACATGTGCTGAAATTGTATTTATTTTGCTTAATTCTTCCTGTTGATTCTTTGTTTCTGTTATTCTTTGACTTCATTTAAGATAAAATATTTGAAAAAACATTTTAACACATTCTTAAGGTTGGTTTTAAATCTCATGTTTATATTAATGTACAAATATACTTTATAACACAGCTCTTTGTTATAACATTTACATATCTGCAGTTATTTAACATATATGTATAACAACTGTTAGTAACAGGGCGCCATTTAAATTAGTCTTAACATAGGGTTTTTGATAGAAATATTTATGTAATCAGCCGTTATAGGCATGATATCGATGAGTATATCATGTGATTACAAGACTTTGTACTATACTCTGTACTATACTCTCTTGGCCGTGTGCAAAGCATGGTAGAGTATTAATTCTACTCTTTTTTTCTGCTTTTGTTAATTTTATTTGCAAACAAGCGGCGCTGATAACTGCAAATTAAAAAATATCTGATCGAACTGTAAAAGAGCAATAAATTTTCAAAGAAACATTGAAAATCTTATCTCTGGTCAGATATAGCATTTCCGATTCTGAAAAGTCTTGCCGTGAACAAAGTTAAGTGCAACTGACACTAATGATACAGATTGCATTTTTTAATTAAGTCTTATAATCAACAATTGGCAATAATGCTTAAGGCCGCCCAATGGCCACGCCTACAGATGAGTAAGGTTTGCAGTTAATTGCCATGGCTTAAGCCTTGTGTTGCAATAAAAGCCATGACAACAACAACAATAACAAAGCAACTTATTGAAACAGAGTCGCAGCTTTTCACATTTTTCATGTACTTTGCATATTAACATGCTTGAATATTACGTATACGCGACGTAAACCCGTTTTATGGCGCAGCCAACGCTGACGCTGACGTCGCCGTCGACTGCGACAATGCGCAGAGTTAATTGCCTTGATTTAGCGGCGAGAATTAATGTCTGGAATGAATCTCTCCGCAAAGCTGCCGAAAATTTACAGCTATTATTATTTGTTTGCGTTTGTCGCATGGCGCAACGTGCCGGCGTTTTTTTTCTTCGCATTTTGTGTTTTCCTTTTGTTGTTGTTGCTCGGTCTTGCTTTCGTTTTGTATTTGTGAAGTGTATGCGAAAACAAACAAAAACAAAATTGGTTATCAGCTGTTGTATTTCATTTTGATTTTCTGTTCTGCTTTTGCGTTGTCCGCGCAAATTCCTTAACAAGCGTTGTTGTTCTTACTCTCTTAGTGTTTGCTTGTGTTTAGCAGCATGCTGCTGTCTCTGCTGCTGCTGCTGCTATCGGCAGCGACGCGAAGTCTGCTGCTATCGGCTCTTCAATATGATACTTGAAATTGAAATAAAAAGCAACAATGCTGTCAACTGAGCATTTCAGTTTGGATTCAGCCGTCTTCGCAGAAAGTAATACATCTGCGTCATAGCGCAACAGCGACGACTGCTTCTGTTTGCGCGCGCCTTCTCTCAGTCACGCGCTCTCTTCGCAACAGCATCTCTTCTACGCGGCTGTACGATCTCTGCGCTCAGTTCGTTGCACGATCGGCAGCGACGCTGTAAAGTTATTTAAACGCATTTTACATGCAACGCCAGTTGTAAATCAGACGCCGCTTAAATAATTACAATCGGATGAACTGTTCAGCAAATTAACAATAACAATAGAAGCGACAAAATACCGTTACCGTTAAAAACACCGGCAAACTCAATTCAAACGTAAATAGTTCCGCTCTGTCGGCCGGAACAGACGCTGTGTATATAATGCGCGTTTTTGTTTATTTCAAAATAAAAACAATATTCGCTTTTCCAACCACAAAAAGAACGCATTTCTGATAAAGAGCGAAACGAGAAGTATTCGCATTGTGTGTGTTTTAAGAGAGTTGCTAAACAACAACAACAACAACAGCATCAATAAGCTAGCAATATAAAAATTCCCATAACCCAGTATCCAGATCCAGCGATAACGTCACCCGCGGGGACCAGTATTATAAAAAAGTGCTCGAATCTTTTTGTTTCTAAATACAAATATCAATTATTATAATTGTAACTCATTTGTTGCTGCTGCTGCTGCCGCATCCACGTCAAGGTTGTAACAGGAGCGGAGAGCTTTTTATTTTTTGCTAGCCGTTCGACCGAGGAGGAGCTGTCACTCGTCAGCAAACACACATACATACATATATACATAGTTACATACATACATACGTATGTAAAATATAACAAAGATACAAACATATTTCGTATTGATGTTTGTATTGTCGCCGCGCCGCTGTTGCTGCTGACCGTCCGTTACATTTTAGTCGCCGCCGCGATAGCGACGCCGCGTGTTGTCGCCGCGTTTTCGCCGACCTCAAAACAAAAAAACGCAAAAAAAGACACAAAACTAAAATATACATATATATACAAAACTCACACACACATTTTGTGTTGTATAACGGACGCGTGTGCATTGAATTTAAAGCATCTTCAAATTTGCACGCATTTCCTTTTGGGCAACATGAAGCGTCTGATGACCTGGGAGCGCGATCTTGTCGATGCGATGTACGAGTAAGTTATGCATACACACAGACACACGCGCAGATTTGAAAGCTGGTTAACTGTTTGCTAAACGATTGTGTTTATCGCCTGTAATTATTAATAAGTAGTGCTGCAGGTTTTCAAGTGCATTTTTGTTTTGCAACACTGCTGTTTGAGGTCTGTTTCCAATGTCGCTCCTTAAGTAACAAACTTGTTTCAGCTGCATTGAACTCGACTCTCGACAGCTATGTACAGTACAGCGCAGCAGCTGCCAAAAAAAAAAACATCTATGTTTTATAATATGTTTCAGTGTCGAATACAAAGCATGAGAATGCGCAACCCAAAACATTGCATGGCAACAATAACATTAGCAGCAACAGCAGTTTCACTCTTATACTGCTGCAGCTGCTGTTTGTTTATAAGAGTGTCTGCATAACAAACGCGTGCAATTCTGCTGCCTGCGCCGGTCGCTTAGCATACTGTACTCTCAATGCATTTTTCTCACTTGCCTATGCTCACACCCACGCCAACTCTGACAGACTCGTCCTCTTCTCTTTACTCTTTTTGCTGCTGAGCCTCAGGAAGTTTTAACATGCGGCTCAATCATTCGCATTGAACGCCAAACAGTTTGGCTTAGGAGTGTGGTAAATGGGCAACGTTATCGGCAGGGGGCGCTTTTCATGCCGTTGGTGGAATTTAAATGGCGCTCATTACCTTTATAAATAAGTTAGAGGCCGGTAGCAATGCCTGGCGCTTACTTTGCTACCTAATTTATGAGCCGCAAATCGCCTAGTTTTAAAGTATTTGGCACTGCCGCACGCCTATTTGTTTACTTAACTTATATGTATGTTTCTTCATAAACAAATAGATTAGGTTAATAGTACATGGGATTATTATGCATAAAGATAGCGAATAATTTAAGGAAAATTAGGACTTATAATAGTTTATACATACTTGCCTCAAGGCAAACATACACTCACACACCCTTATACACATGTATATATATATATATAAATAAAATAAATAAGCCAAGCCTTGAAAATAAATGTTTAACATATTGTGCAGCACTGTCTGTTTCACAAGTACACATAACATATGTTTCTCAAGACTGGCTGACACAACTCCAGCCTTTGAGCTGGCTGTACCTGCTCCATGCCCACTCAATGCACGTCTTTGTGTCTTTATAAGTAACTGTCATATTGACTGTGTATTGAAGGTGTAAATGATAATGGAATTCACGTTTTTTGTATATAGTATAATATTTTCAACTTAATAATTGATGGCAAGTCGAATGCCATATCCACAAGTTGCACTTGCATGAAAATTGCGCATTTATTTGCAACTACCGTTACTCGTACTGTTTTTGGCATGTGGGTTACTTTTGTGCAGACTGTACCACATTTGAAGATGTAGAAAGCGTGTAGTCATTAGCCTAACAAGTGGCGCATGTTGACGTTTATTTTAGATGCTCGCTTAACTGTTTCAACCAGCTGACAAGTCGGGGCCCAGTCACATGCCCGCCATATGAGTATATATACATAGATATACATACATAGTTATTATACCTATTAGTATTTACCCGGATTATTGTGCGGCTGTGTACTTTTCAGTATTATTTACAATCCAGACTAAGTGACAACTGGCTAAAAACAGATAAAAACCTGGCCCTGACCAATTCACGTTGATAAGGCCACGCAAGTCTCCCCCTACCCCTCTCCAAATATTGCGCATTTATTAGCACTTAGCCGGAGGTGTGGAACTGCGCCTGGGACCTGTCGTGACTCATTAAAGACGCCGCCCGGGCGACACGCTTATTGGGCATGTCGTTCCACAGAGACCCAAACAGTTGCAGATTGAGATACACAGTTACCGAGAAAGATTCATAAATATAGTGATGAATCGACATAAATTGAGTTACTTTGCTTATTTGTTCAAGTATTCACGTTTATGTGGAAAGTTTAATAATGTTTCAGCGAATTTCGGAAACTGTTAATTAAATATGCATATACAGACGGCCGACGCCTCGAGCCTGGAAACGTTTTGGAAACGTCTTGATTGTAATCTTTCAGTTGATGTGCCTTATTTGTATGGAATATTACCAGAGACAGAGGCGTTCGCTAACTCAAGTCGAATTTCAAATGGCAAATACATGTCTTTGCTAATTATATGCCACATTCATTAACTATTTTTATATTTTTGGCGTGACTAAAAACTCAAGATTAACGGCACATATAGGCGATTTTAATTTTAGAACTGAGCTGTGTCAAAGATAAAACTTAATTAAAAAATGAAACGAAGCAAGAAAAAAAAAACAGCAGGAAATGAGTCTGAGCGTTACGTTAAACTTAACTATTATTCAAGTTTCATCAGAGCTAATCAGTTCTCTGAACTCACTTATATATAAAAAGCTATACTGAATGTCTTATCAAAATGATTCACTTATTTGAACTCTCAAAAAACACTTTGAGCTTATCATAAATTTATTAACATAATTATATCAAAATTATTCAGTTTAAGATAATTATTAAACGGCGGGTAACAGAAAATTTAACATCTCATGTTAATATCATCTGACATACGATATTACAATACTATCGATCAGTCTATATATAACAATGATTAACATTGTTTGCTTAATAATTGTGCTAATTATTCAAGCTATGATTAGTTTATTTAAGAATCTGGTACTAAAATCTATAGATCTTTCCATCTTCTAACGATCCTTTGATCATTTTTAATACTAGAACAAATGTGATACAAAATTAAGGTCAATCAATGTTAATATGACTTGGTATTTCACCCAAGAAAGAATCTATTCCTACTGATCTTTCCAACTCCTAACGATCTTATGATCTGTTCTTAAGCAGATCATATTGAGCAATAGAATGAAATATAACATAAACTAACTGAACTTTCACGATCCAAATGTTGGCGATCTAACGATTAATGATCAATGATATATTAGCTAAATACCTACGATAATTATTGGATAATTGTGTAATAAACCATCTAAAATCACATGCTAATATGCTATTGTATATCGTTTAAATGATAAAATAATATATTACCTAAGCTTGTTTACAATCTTGCGAACATTTATATTGATACGTCGCCTGGCTGAGTAAAATGTTGATCACCTTTTAGCGTCCGAGTGTTAAAACTTCAACATGAAATGACATTTTCAACATGTGCTCGGCATGATGTGTCTTACATATTATAAATTAATTTGAAACCTGTTCAGATTGCGTTTCTGTTACCAGCTAGAATTGTGTGTAGTACATGCGGCAACATTTAACGAGGGTTCTTTGAACCTCTGTTGCCCAGTGGAACAGACATTATTACAAGGCCAACTTTCGTATCTCTATTCGTATCTTAGTGGGAGCTAAAGGAAGACAAATAAAATAAAAAGCTGCTACTGTATTTGGCCACATTTTAGTCATAATCATAGTTTTAATTGTTTCCCGCCAGCAAAACTTGACTACAAATTATTGTCTCAGGTGCGTCACTCTCTTGACGTCACATCGTTGACAAAATCTGCTTTTGGTTGTACCGATAAAGGGTATCAACGGCTGTTTGTGTTGTTAAGTTATGCTTTCTTTGTAAAATTACTCATAGATCTTATGGCACTTGGGAAATTAGTAAGACTCGTGTACTTTTCGAGCGATTCTTCACTGCCGCAATTCTTATGATACGGGTAAATTTCATTCTTATGATACATTCCGCCGATAAGATATATGCCTTGGGCGGGAGGGCGCTTCTGATTATAATCAGATATCAATTATTATGGGTTGGGACAGGCCCAAGAGCTTCAAGATCTAATGAACGCTCCGTGCTTGCAGATTTAAAGTGTACAAATGTTTACTTAACTTCAATAAAGAATAGAAAAAGTAAACTATATTATGAAACTGTTGAGGACCCAACGCGCCAGCCCCTTTCATAATATCAACTGGGATGTGGGGGCTATTTTTAATCGATCGAACACCCAAATCTCTCGCATTTGCATAGACGGCGGGCGGTGTAAACCGGTTCGAGCAAAGCGGAATACAAGATATGTTTGTATTTACATATATAAAGATATATATTCTATATGCATGCGCTTTCAGCATGTGTATATGTATATGGCAGACATTCTGCGTTTCGAAATAAATTTGACAAAACATTTCCACATGCTATATATGTATATCTGTATAGATGCGATTGAGGTTCGGAATAAAGTCTATGGCCCATTAAACAGACAACAGATTACAGCTCTTCATTTTAAAGAAGGTTTGGATTACATGGGGTTTATTTGACCTGATTTTTCATTTTATGAGATATAATGAATATCAATATTATAGGAGAACGACTTTACATATAAGACGCACATTTAAATAGCACTCGACACTGTGATACTTCCCGCCAACACTTAGATAACTTATCCATCCAGCACAGCACTTAAATGAAATTAAATTTTATTTACCTCTGGAATTTAACAATAATCAACAAAACGTGTCTCTGGACACTTGTCATACTCATACTGAACGTACATACGTAAAAATAATGGGCCAGCCATTGGGCATTAGATATTGCATACACACATAGAGATATATGTCGATATCTGTTTGGCAACCTGTGTAGGCCTTAATGCATATAGAAAGCCAGTCATGGCTGATAACTGTCCATTGGATATATGCGTCTGTAACTGTTGAGTGCGGCACCAGGTCCCGATCGACAATGCGAGCATGTGTAAGCGAAATGATTTCTGTTTGTACGAGTCTTGGCTATTTGGTTGTGAGTGTGTGGAACGTAGAACGTATGTAGATCGAGTGCGGCCAGAAAGACAAGAGATATCTGGTGGTAAATGTGTGTGGGGGTACGGGTACCAGTACGGGTGTATGGCTACTCGAAGCGGGGCGCTGTTCGCATAGGAAATCGTATTTGACTACAACGAATTTCAATTTGACTTCTCAGTTGGTAAAATGTGGCTCGTTCGTTCGGTTCGCATGCGAAAACACAAACAGAAATACAAGTCAATCAAATACGCTTTATAA